GCAAAGGAATTGAGTCATTTTGTTAACTCTGAATATTACAGGTAGGTTTTTAATCTGTTATGAGATCTGAAGTTATAATTAGGAGAAAGACAAATAATAAATTCCTGAGACATAGACAGATAGGAATCCTAGAGCTACTATACAGACATATTAGCAAATGTTGCCTATAAGATGATTTTGGTAGTTTCTGGTACAATGATGGTATGGTGATAATCCAACCTAACTAATCATACATTTTTAGATACAAGCCATTTCTCTTTCAAGACTTGTATGTTGGGACTTTCCCAGAAAGTTCAATAAAGGAATGTTTTGAATCCTTTCATCAGAGTGATAAAGAGAGAGAGAAGCAAAGTAGGTCTACTATCACCAGTCCTCTTGGGAAGCTGCTTCTCTCAACCTAGCTGCCATTTGGCAGCAATTCCACCAGGCTCCTGAAGGGCCAGGTACATTGGGCTTTCTTTATAACCATTTTTATTAGAGAGAAAAAAATGGACGTTGTCTTCCAAAGTGATTACAATCAAAGATAATGCATGCAGCTTTTGCTTGCAACAACTCAGAAAAGTAAAAGCAACCAATCAACCATAAAATAAAACTCATGATGGGAAGAAAATTTCCATTCTAGACTAAGGGTCCTTCTATGCTGACAATTAACGTGGGCTTAATCCAGCATCTGGGACATCGGATCAGGCCTACAGGATTGCCAGATAGCGACTTCTTGAACTATCTTGGGGGTGGCAGGGAGTTCTGATGGTTAGCTGTGCCAAACATGATTCAAGGCAGCACAGTGCCCATATTAGAGATCCGCCCTGTCCCCACTGCCACAACTAGAATACCTGAGAACAAGATAGATGGGTGTGGCAGATGGAGATAGTTGCAATGTGGGGGGAGGGACAATTATGAAAAGCAGACTGCATCCTGCATCCCTGGGCTACCTGAGCCTGAAGAACATGGAGGTCAGTGAAGACAGTTGTAACTGGTTGTATTTAGGAATCAAGCCAACTGTTTTCACTCCCCCTAACTTGAGAGGTCAGGATTTGGGCTTTCTCCTGAGTTAGCCCAACCTGGGGCAAGTCCGTGTTAAAGTGGTCTTGCCTTGGGTTAAGCCATATCAACCTCATGCAATATTTAGCCACTGCAGGGCTAATCCAACTACACATGGATCTAAGCAGTTCTGTAGTGAGCAGTTGTTATTCAACCAACACCACTGAGGATTTTGATGGCAGCTAATGTCTATGTCTGCTGTACATCTGGCCCTTCACAATCTCTGGAGTTATAGGTGCAGAAATCCCACAAAAGTGGGAAAACTACAAAAAAAATTAAATACTTCTTTAATCCTAAAGGGTATTTCTCTAGGAATCACTAGGTCATCCATAGCAATTCTGTGATCAACTTCCATTGGAGTTTGACCACAAAGTTGTGATGGATGATCTAGAAATTCCTAGAGAGAGTATCTCTCTAGGAATCTTTAGTCTCCTATGGTCAATCACTGGAAGATGATCACAGAACTGATATGGAGGACCTCGAGACGGAGAGACCGTATTAATAAAAATCTGCAAAAGTTAAACCCACACACGTGGAGGATTGTCTGTAATGACACATCAGAAAAAGTAACCAGCGAGGCCAAAATAATTACTTCAATAATCCTGCCTCTATACAGATGTTATGTATTTTAGGTTACAGTAACAGTTTTGTTTTATTTTATCTCAAATAATTTCGTAAGTTATTCTGCAGAGTGCCAGAGCTATAAAGTACTATACACATATTCTAACTAAACACATAGGCAGAACTATGTCTCATACTATTGTTTGAAACTAAGTTAAGAAAATAGAAGAAGACCCCTTAAATTCACCATGGTGTCCCTTCAGATCTGAACATAATTAATATTTTAAATAATCAACACTTCCTTTCATGTTTACAAATCAAGTACTATTATCCTTACCATCAAATATACCTTTAACTCGCATGGCACAGTTGTTAGGTTCCAACTGAGCACTTTCAGCAAATCAATATTCTTTTTTTTAAAAAAATTATTAACCACAAAAGAAATGCTATATACATAAAAGAGGTGGAACAATAGAGTGAAAGAAAAGTAGGTTCTTCTCAAGGAATAGCATCACCTCAGGATCACAAATCAAAATTGTGACAGATCTCCACTTAACAAAAATGGCATGCTTGGGTTTTACGAAGATAAGTGCCAGATAAGAATCTGAACAGAAAACACTTTCCTACAACTTAACTTGGAAATGTTCCCGAAGTTGCTGTCCAAACTTCTAGTGTAACACACCCATGTTGTTGATCAGTATTCAAATTTCACACATCAACTATATCCATGTTTACCAGAGAAATGTCTCATTAGATTAAAATATCCTGAAGGCACCAGAACTTGGAAGCTAGGCAGAGTCATCCCTTATGCCAAGTAATACAAGATGCTATAGCCTATATTTCAAAGGAGGACAATGGCTCATCACTTTTGAGTATTCCTTGCCTATGAAAGCCCAATGAAATTACTACGGTTGTCGTAAGTCAACAGGTCACTTGAAGATATTTCAAAGGAGGACAATGGCTCATCACTTTTGAGTATTCCTTGCCTATGAAAGCCCAATGAAATCACTACGGTTGTCGTAAGTCAACAGGTCACTTGAAGATGTGCATGCAGGCACACACTTCCTTCCAAGTTGGTAGGGCTGGGATAGTAGCCTGAATCACTGGCCTACCTAGACCAGCTGTGCCAACAAGTCACTGTCAAATTGCCAGAACTAAGTCTCCTTTCAAATACCTTGCAGGAAGGAATGGCAGGAATATTTGCAGAACAACATTCTCAATAGCATGCAAAAATAAGTAGTGGATGAGTTTTATTCTCAGATAAAGAAAGATAGGACTGTAGCCTTAAAGGTATGTGTGGGCATGTGTGAAGTTTCATAAAGAAGATTTATCTAAGACAAACCATATCTGTCCAGTCCAAAAACCTGGATTCATTCAAACTGAACCATTTATCACTTGAATACACTCATACAAAAATAACTGTATGTATGTATAAATCAGGCATGGGCAAACTTCAGCTCTCCAGGTATTTTGAAGTCCAGGTATTTTGGACTTCAACTCCCACAATAGTGGGAGTTGTAGTCCAAAACCTGGAGGGCCGAAGTTTGCCCATGCCTGGTATAGATAGACAGGTTGAGCATCTCTTTTCTGGAATTCTGAAATCCAAAATACTCTAAAGTCCAAAACTGTCCACATTGGGGAACTGAAATAATAACATCTTTGTTTTCTGATAGTTCAGTGCACACAAACTTTGTTTCATACACAACATACTAAAAAATATTGTGTCTCAGGCTACATGCCTAAAACATATATACGAAACACAAACAAATTCTGTGTCCCATCTCCAAGGCATCGCATTACATATAAGCACACATTCCAAAATCTGGACAAAAAACTCTCTAACATACTTGGAATCTCTGGAAGAGGGGCACTCAATCTGTAGATGGGGAATAAGTAAAAGTAAAGGTTTCCCCTTGACATTAAATCTAGTCGTATCCAACTCTGGTGGGTGGTGCTCCATTTCTAAGCCGAAGTGTCAGCGTTGTCTGTAGACACCTCCAAAGTCATTAGATGGAGCACCGTTATTTTCCTGCCAGAGCAGTACCTATTGATCTACTCACATTTGCATGTTTTTGAACTGCTAGGTTGACAGAAGCTGGGGCTAACAGCAGGAGCACACCCTGATCCCTGGATTCGAACCTCCAATCTTTCATTTAGCAAGTTCAGGAGCTCAGCGGTTTAACCCATTGTGCCACCTGGGGCTCCCAGATGGGGAATACAGTTATACAAACATAAAGAAATCCTATGTCTAGACCTGGGTCCTAGACCTTGTTTGGGAGAGGGGATCTAAAATGTGGAACACCTCTGGTCCCAAGAATTTTGGAGGAGGGATACTTTGTATACAGGAAGAAGAAAGTTATATGAAACAAACATGAATTCCAGGTGGAAACCTGGGTCCCATCTCACATCATGTACATCAGTCATGGGCCAACTTCCTGTAGGTATTTTGGACTTCAACTCCCACAATTCCTCACAACCTCACGCCTCACGCTTAAGCGGCTGAGGGGGGAAAGGAAAGGGCTTGAGGCTGTTAGGAATTATGGGAGTTGAAATCCAAAACACCTGGAGGGCCCAAGTTTGCTCATGCCTGCCATAGCTCAATGTTATAGGAGTTGTAGTATGGGTAACAAAAGGAACCAGCATCCTTTGGCAGAGAAAGCTAGCCTTTGTAAAACTACAACACTCATTATTCCATAGCATTGAGCCATGGTAGTTGAAGTGCTGTCACCTGGAGGGCTCAAGTTTGCCCAGGCCTGGTGTATAGGCAAGTATTCCAAAATTGGGGCCGGGGGGACCCGAAATATGGCCCGTCTTCGGTGTCAAGCATTTCGGAGGAGGGATTGTCAACCTGTCCATGGGAAAGAGAAGGGCTGTTCAATGAAGCCCTCAAATAAACCCTCCATTTCTGGGCCGAGCGAGAGGAAGCCGGTTCCTCCCAGGATTTGGAGAAAGGGGTTCCCTCGTTTTCTCAGCACCCCCCCCCCCCCGGCCATCCAATCCAATCCCAGCCTCGCTGTCAAACGTCCGGCGCCGCCTCAGAAGCCCCCCCTCCGCCCTTTCCCTCTGGGTCCACACTGCCCACCTTGCGCCGCACCTGCCCCGCTTCCAAGCTCCGCGCCACCTCCGGGACCTCCCGCGGGACCCGCTGTTTGCCTGCTTTGGGCGCTGGCCGGCCCTCGGCTCCACTCCGCTGAGCCAGTCCCGCCCGTGGCCTACCTGTCACTTCGCTCCCTGACAGCGGCGGCAGCAGCACCCGCTCCCTGCCTCCCTCCCTCCCTGCCGCCTGTCACTTGCCCTCCTCAGCCGCCGCTCTCCCTCTCCCTCTCTCTCCCTCTCGCTCTCCGTAGGTGCCTCCTCCCTCCCTCCCTCCCTCCCTCCCTCCCTGAAGGCGCACTCACCCTCGCGCGCCCCGCTCAACAGCTCCTCGGGGCTGGGCGGGCGGGCTCGCGCGCTTCCCGATCTCGCTCGGCACCTTCCTCTTCGGCCCCCCGCCCGGCTCCGGCCTCTTCAGCAGCAGCAGCCGAGGCCGCCGCGCAGGGGACATGGCTCCTTTAAGCCTCCCCCGGCTCCCTCCGCCCGCCCGCCCGCGCGCCGTCCCACCAACTCCCCCCTCTGCCCACCCCTCCTCCCTCCCTCCCTCTCTGTCTGTCTCTCTCTACCCGGCCGGCCCAGCTGCCTGCTCCGACCGGGCTGCTCCCCGCCCCTTTCCTCCCCCCTCTCTTCCATTCAACGTCGCGAACACAGAGCGTCTCTAGCAACGCGACGTCCGCCTCCGAGGCGCCATGTTGGGAGAGGCAGAGCCCAAGCGCTATGACGTCATGGGACGGGTCCCGCCTCGGGCGCCATGTTGAGAGAGAAGCTGTTTTTTTCTCCCCGTCAGAAGAGATTTGAGAAACTGCAAGTCGCTTCTGGTGTGAGAGAATTGGCCGTCTGCAAGGACGTTAGCCAAAGGACGTCTGGATGTTTGATGTTTTTACCATCCTAATCTAGTGTCTAGATCTAGGGAAGTCATACTACCCCTCTATTCCGCCTTGGTTAGACCATACCTGGAATATTGTGTCCAATTCTGGGCACCACAATTGAAGAGAGGTGTTGACATGATGGAATGTGTCCAGAGGAGGGCAACTAAAATGATCAAGTGTCTGGAGAACAATCCCTATGAAGAGTGGCTTCAAGACCTGGGCATGTTTAGCCTGAAGAAGAGAAGGCTGAGAGGAGACATGATAGCCATGTATAAATATGTGAGAGGAAGCCACAGGGAGGAGGGAACAAGCTTGTTCTCTGCTTCCCTGGAGACTAGGACGCGGAATAATGGCTTCAAACTACAAGAAAGGAGATTCCATCTGAACATGAGGAAGAACTTCCAGACTGTGAGAGCCGTTCAGCAGTGGAACTCTCTGCCCCAGGGTGTGGCGGAGGCTCCTTCTTTGGAGGTTTTTAAACAGAGGTTGGATGGCCATCTGCAATATTCCTGCTTCTTGGCAGGGGGTTGTGCTGGATAGCCCATAAGGTCTCTTCCAACTCTATGATTCTATGATCCTTGTGGGAGGCTTCTCTCATGTCCCTGCATGGGGAGCTGGAGCTGACAGAAGGAGCTCAACCCGCTCTCTCTAGAGTCAAACCTCCAACCTGTCGGCCTTCTGTCCTGCCGACATAAGAGTTTAACCCACTGCGCTACCAGGGGCTCCGAAAGAGGAGCTGAATGGAAGAGATAGGTTCGTCAGTGATGGCGAAGGGTTCGGCTCCAGGCCTGTCTGTCTGGGCCTCCCCATGGCTGTTCTCGCCTTTCCCCTTCAGGCATGCACTCCTCTAGGGCGCTCACAACTAGTGAGGCCTGTATCTGGCCCTCGAAAGGCCTAGAGAGGAGCGACGCGGCCCCAGGCCCTCTTGTCCCTTGAGATAGATTAGAGGGTGACATCAGTTGAAACAACAATAAAGAGGTTTATGTCGAGTGAGTCTAGCCATGCTGACCTGGGCAAAGTTTGGCCCTCCCAAGTGTTTTGGATTTCAACTCGCACAATTTCTGTTAGGGGCCTGAGGCTGTTAGCAATTGTGGGAGTTGAAGCCCAAAATACCTGGGGGAGGGGGGATGGCGAAGTTTGCCCATGCCTTGTGTAGGAGGTCTTGGAGCTGGCTGGTGTAGTGCAGAACTTTCCAAACGTTGGTGACATGGTGCTTTTTAGACATGCATCATTTCACAACACAGTAATTCAGTTTTACTAGCAACCCAGATAAAAGATTGTTGTTGTTTATTTAGTCAATTCTGACTCTTCATGACCTCATGGACCAGCCCACACCAGAGCTCCCTGTCGGCCGTCACAACCCCTAGCTCCTTCACGGTCAAGCCAGTCACTTCAAGGATACCATCCATCCATTTCCTTCCAATTTCCCCAGCATCTCAGTCTTGACATCTCATCAATAACGACATCCAGTTTGCCTTGGCTCACAGATCTTACCTTCCAGGTTCCTATGGTGTGTTGATCTTTAGAGCATCGGATTTGTTGTTCTCCTCCAGCACTGTCGACTCCTTACCTTCCTTTTGGCTTTGAGCTAGCTGCATCATCACATCTGGGGCTAGTTGAACTTATCTGTGCCTCCCCAGTAGCATTCCGACCTGGGAGTCCCATCTTCCAATGGCATACCGACATCTCTCTGGTTGTACTGATGATCCATGTAGTTTTCTTGGCAAGAATACTGGGGAGTGTATTGTCGAAGGCTTTCATGGCTGGAATCACTAGGTTCTTGTGGGTTTTTTCGGGCTATAGGGCCATGTTCTAGAGGCATTTCTCCTGACGTTTCGCCTGCATCTATGGCAAGCATCCTCAGAGGTAGTGAGGTATTTCTCCTGACGTTTCGCCTGCATCTATGGCAAGCATCCTCACTACCTCTGAGGATGCTTGCCATAGATGCAGGCGAAACGTCAGGAGAAATGCCTCTAGAACATGGCCCTATAGCCCGAAAAAACTCACAAGAACCTAATACTGGGGAGAATTGCCTTTGCCTTCCCCAGGGATCGCGCTTGGTCTGACTTCTCTGCCATGACTCTGTCTTGAGTGTCCCTTCACGTTTTCGCTTGTGGCATCATTGAGGTACTCAAGATCCAGTGCCGCAACGGGAACGATCCTTTGCTGGAGATAAAAGATACAGGCACATAAATTGTAATAGTAAAATGTATAGACACAACATATCTCATTAAAGCCTTTCATTCGTGCTTTTAAAAATATATGGTTTGTAAGATACTGTATTTCATTAATTCTAAGGCACACTGATATCATTACTACCAACAAAAATACAAGCTTTATTTAAATACTGGTATATAAAAAAGGTGCCTGCAGTTAGAAGGTGCACTCGATGTTTAGAGATGTTTATATGAAGAAAAAGATGTGTCTTAGAATTGAAGAAATACAGTAATAACATACATTTCCAAGATTTTTTGTCATTTATGAGTCAAAATACGTTACTAGTATTAATGTTACTAATACTAATTGGCACTTTTGCTGGATAAAAATGCATTCAAGTTGGTATTGCTTCTTTCATATAGACTAAGAGGTCTCATTATTGGGGATAATGAATCTTGACCTGTTAGAATTACCGACCATTGGGGTATAGATCCTGAACTGTTAGGATCACAACCTCATCGGGTTAGCAGAATTTGCTTTCTAATTGGTGATCACTGGGCATGTAGATATTTTGTTTTTGTTTGATGCTTTCAGCAGACAATGATTTAAATTAAAGATAACAATTTTTGTTGTACTGATAACTCCATGTATTTAAAGATACAGGCACAATTCTTCTCAAGAGGTTAAAAACTTCAGTAACGTTTCAGAGAGTTTGTATCTTGAACTTACAATCTTTAACAGTTTCTTCATTAACTATGTTGCTTTATACAGTTCTCTGTAATAAGAGATTACTTTCAAATAAAACACAAGCCTCAACAGTTTCTAACTTCCTAACATGAGCTTTTGCACTCATAACAGATTTCTATATTCAAGCTCATTCAAGGCTCATCACACTTCTCTAACAGTCATTCCTCAACTGACATTTCCTAACTGTCATCCTGTTTAAACCTGAACATTCTAAACTGTCAGTGCATCAGTCACATGACCTGCAGCCCCTCCCACTGCTTTAGGTATATAGAGATAAGGAAACTGCAAATCAAATAAGACATATACTTCAAGTTAAAAAAGGACACATTGCAAAACAGACAAACATATAGAGGAGGCTTGAAAAGGTTGTTTCCCTCAACACTCATTACGTTTGTGCAACACACAAACATTGCTGTGGACAGTTTGGAGAGCTCTGGTGTGGTGGATTGAGGATTGGTTTATGGGGGTTTAAATCCCCACAGAACTCACTGTAAGATCAAGAAATTGGACCCCATGTTATGGATTATATAAAGTGTATAAATAATAAAACACAGCTCCATTGGAACATACAGTGCGCTTTTGTCCTCTGGTAGCCCCTTCATGAATTGCTTGTTAAATGTTGCCTAACACACCTGGACCCCAGGCAACAATCCTTCCAATTTCCATAATCTGACCCAGAAGGCTTAAACACACAATGAATTTGGTTCAGAGGTCCTGAGTAAATTTCCTGTTCTTTCCTGATCTGATCGGGGCCACCTGTGAAAACGGTCCATCTCCCATGCTCCAAGCTAACCTCATCTGTTCAGCACCCATTGAAATGGCCATTATCTTCAAGCAACTAGGAACTCATGACATTAGGAAATACTCCGTTTCTGAGACTGATTGAGGATGATTTCTGACAGGTCCCATTGCATGACATTTATTCCATCCTGCTGGTAATCCATCGAAATCCATCTACAAAAACATCATATGAATGGAGTATTTCTAGACAATATTCTAATCTTAGTATTTTAAGTACTATGGACTTTTCCATCGCCTTTACTGTCCAGATGCGAGTACTTGTTCAAATCTTGCCAGGCTACACCACTGCAAATTTAGGGGAAAAATGTTTAAGGTCACGGAATGACATAGGGGGTCTTCTGAACGATTTGGGAGGAACCAGGCTTCTGTGGTATGGAAGGATGAAATGCAGCATTTTCTGAAGGTATGGGTGAATTGTATGGGTGTGATGGAGTCAATATGCATCACATCTGCATCAGTATGCATTCAGCCAGGAAAAAAAAACCTACGGGATGCATAGTTACAGAAACAGATTATTTCCTAATGGTTTTTTTTAATAACGAATTTTTATTTAACAATACAAAAAAAATACATACCGTGCACACACAAAACATTTACAATTCCCACCACCAACACGAGGACTGTTTTCTTTTACATTTACATTCTTTTTGAGACAGTCATTATATCTTTATCTTTATACATTTCCATCCTGTATGCTATATAACATTTGTATCTTATTTCTTATGGCTTGATCTCCAGAATTATTCATAATGTAGTTCTTTACCCTTGCCCATCTTTCTTCAATTTCTCTCATTCTGTGTTCCTTGATTTTTAAATCATTTAATTTCACATTCATAATTTCAAATTCCATTTGCTCCATCATATATTGGTACCATTTATTTACTGTCCATTTTGATTTATCTTTCC